TCTTAAAGGCTTTGAAAAGGTAGTCCATACAGTTCTTATCAGGAATATCATTCCTATTTATATTAGATCTTATTTTATCTACTACAGAGAGAAAATAATTCTGGAAAACATCAGCTATATCACTGCGCTTTTCTCTTGGAGTCTCTGAATTATATGCATCTATGAATTGCAATAATCTATTGTCTGATTTTTTCCCTGTTATGGTTTTAACAATTTTCCACGCCATTACCATTTTATTACTTGAATTAGTTATTAGTCTATCATAATTAAGTTTTTTTGCTGCTTTTATTACCTCTGTTAAAGTTCTACAGTATAAATTATAATGCTTCTTTAGATTATTATCCTTATGATTCCTACAATGTAAATAAAGTCTAGTATATAGTGATATAAAAATTGTGTATACCTAAAATAAGTAACTAAAAACTAGAACACAGGCCGACAATCTTGCCTTCTTTAAATTGTAAAGTAAGACAGTTTCTCGCATCTTAAAAAGATTTATAACTAAAATATTCCTGTAATGAATAAAAAGAATGTAAATATAAAAATTGTTTTAATTGTACCTCAAAACTCTTAGTGTCACTCAATATATCCTTAATATCTTGTGGTAGATTATTATAGACCTTTGTTCCTAAAAAATTAACTCCCTTTTGGTATTAACTCAAATTTACAAGAGGCTGATGGGTATACCAATGGGTATGAGAGGAGAGGGGATCTTCCAGGGGCTAATGTGAATCTGACCACTCACTTTCATCTCATACTGAGGTCAAGAATGGTGGGGTTATACCTCCACTCCTCCATATGTCTTCATGGGGTGGTGCCCAATTAATTAAGCATGGGAACCACTTTACCTTACCTTTACCTGCTGCTATATTTCATCTGCTGTCTAGGTTTGTGTTGCTGTCACAGCACATTACAAAAGGAATTGCTTCTTGAACAAACTGTTATCAACCACATCATCATTTGTTAGTGTCTGGACTTCAATTCAAATGTTTGGGATGGATTTTGTAACATCTTTAATATATCCATACATTCATAATTGTAATATCATAATATTCATCTATGTAAACTACGTAACTAACTAATGAATTCACTCACTCCATGGAGATGAGCCCTTCTTGAGAAGCCACCAATTGTGCAGCTACTCAAGAATTTCCCAACATTTTATGGAACCTGATGATTCATTACCATGTTCACAAGAGCCCTCCGCCAGTCCCTATCCTGAGCCAAATGAATTCAGCCCAAAAACCCCATCTTATCTCTTTAGGGTCTATTCTAATATTGTCATATGTACGAGCGTGACTGCAGACAATGTTTTCTTTGGTAATTGAATTTACAGAAATCTTAAAGATCTGTGACCACAAGTAATTATAACCATTACACTAATTCAGACTCTTTACAGTTCACTAGAGTACACACTTAAGTCTTCTCAGTCTTCTGGTAACAGCTTACAAAGGTAGACAATCCCCTTCGTCAGGATCCTTGAACTGTACTTGGCCTCAGCTGCCAGCTTGTAACAGCATCAGCTCATGACTAAACTTCAGCATTTCTCTGACTCATTCACCAACCAACTCACTCCACTCCACTAACTGTCTGTCATAACATCTCAGGACAGACAGCATAGAAAAAAAAAGTTCCTCTGTTGTTGTCACTGCCAAGTAATGATCGCTGTCTAGTTGTTCAACGGTTGTAGCCTAGCAATGGGTCTATATGCCACACTGTGCCCTCCTTAAGGCTACTTGTACTTGTGACGTCTGTGATCAGCCTCACCTTCCTTCCCCATGGCTCAGTTCTCACAGTGATTACCTTCCAACTGCCCCGCTGCTCCATCATTAAGACTGTTTGTGCCAAGGAGTTCCCTGATAAAGTGCAAGCACGTCCAGGTGTACTCCCATCCTCAATCTAGGGTTCTGCTGGATCCTGTACACCATGATGTTTATCCACGTGACTACCATGTATGGCCCCTTCAATGGGGATTGAAGCTTGTGTGACTTTCCTTTCGTCAGGTGGGCCAACAGAGCCATACATCATCAGTCTCGTGGTAGCCTGTGCAGTTGACAAGTGTCGTAACGACATGGTCACTGGCCAGTTTCAGGTGTTGGCAGGCATAATTGTGGACGTTGTGTAGATGGTCCACTAAATCTGCCACGTGATCAACTGCGGGTTCTTCCTTGTCAGGGGGGCAGTGCCCCAAACAGCAGGTCGCAGGGTAGTCAGAGTTCTCTTCTGAACACTAGGCTAGTCAGGGTCAAGCATGTAGTATTGTAAGTTGATGTCCTATAAGCAAGGTGAAAGGTGGGCAATCTTCCATCCCAATAGCTCTCGTGCAATGCAAAGACCTTTCATAGGTGCTCCTTAACCATTCTGATGTAGTGCTCAACCATGCTGTCCAACTGCAGGTGCAGGGGGTGAGGTGCAACTTTGGAGAATCATCAAATATACAGGATTCTTCAAAAAGGTATGAAATTGTATCACTACAAAGTTCAAATGCAATAGTCTAATGGTGAGGATAATAATAATAAAAAAAAAAATTTACTTCTGTGGCCCATATCTGCATTTTGAGAGGACTTGGAATTCTGAAAAGCATATGGTTTACAGACAAGGCTCGTTTTCATATAAATGGCTATACTAGCAAGAATATTCCTATATAAGCCACATAAAACCCACATAAAGACACTGCTATGCCCCTAAACACATGTTGAGAACAACACTTTCTCCTTGTGGTATCGTTGGATTAATTTTTATCAACGGTACTGTGAAAACTGACCATTCCCTCATGTCCTCAAAGAACAATTTCTCCTCCACCAAGGCAAGGGTCTTCAGTCCCCCATACTTCTTCATGGTGTGGTGCTTACATAATTAAGCACAGGGAAAACTTTACCTTTTTACATTATCAAAGCAAGGATATGGCTTTTGAGAGAACAGTCAACAGGGCAGGGTGTGATCACATAAGAAAAATGATGTGCTCTGTGTTCCCCATGAGCATTCTCCCAACTGAGTTCTCTCTGATCAATTTCCTGCACATAACGGATACAGTTTGCTCTGGTCAGTAAACTCTTCCGATTATAACACATGTAATATCTTCTTCTGGACATTTCTTAAGAATACTATTTACAGAAACACTCCACATACAATTCAATAAATGAATAATAAGACTTCATCAGTTGCTATTAACATCAATGAACATACTCGGGCTGGAAAAATATCAAATGAAAAATACAGAGTTTTGGATGCTGACAGTCTATCTATCTATTCCTGTCGCTTCCACATGGAGCATAGCACATCCGTTCAGTTTCTTAATCTTAGACAGTTGGTAGGACTCGCTGGACAGGGGATCTGCTCAGTGCAAGGCCACAATAAATACAAATACAAATACTACCTACACAGGACAACACAAACACAGAATAAACAGACAAACATCCACGCCTTGAGTGGGATTCAAACCCACATTCATAGTGTTTGAGTGGGTGAAGATATTTCATGCCTTAGACCTTGCAGCCACTGTGATAGGTGATGCTGACAGCATACCCATTTAAAATGTTTCCACTTGATGTTCATTCTCCTGTGACAGCTGTGTTCAGAGATTTCAAGCACAAATTAAATTATGTCTGACAAGTGTTCGAGTGTTCGTTGATTAAAAGTAGAGGGGCATTTCAGAAAGACTCTGTAGTGTAAAAACCTTGTCTGAAATCAATGTGGTTACCCAGAAAAAAAAAGAGCATGTGTGCAATTTGAGATTTTTATGGCAGTGAGAGTGGTACATCTACCAGACTGCGTGGTGTCACATCCCACAAGATAGTACTCGTAATGTTCATGGGTAAATTAAGGAACAGACCCAAACATGCTCAAGCAGAGTTCAGAACAAGGAACATAATATCTGGAAGTGGGAAGTAGATAAAAGCAAAACCTCTCGTCACACATTCCTAAGATTCAACATTGCTAATACTACAGACCATCCTTAAACATGATCCTATGCCATTTCAATCCTATTCCCATCTTCATAAATCTCCCCAAGATCCAGCAAAATATTGTGACATGACACCTGAGAGCCTGAACAGTCCACTACTAGGCAACAGCTTGCTAACACACGTTTCCATAACAAGAAGCCAAAACAGTCCACTGCTAGCCAATGGCTTGCTAACACACACTTCCATGGCAATGGATAAAAACAGAATAAGAGAGGAACTGTAAGATATGGTGACTAATATTCAGTTCACCCTGAAGTTATAAAAGAATGAGTTCAGAGTTGATTTGCAAGGGAGCCATCATTTGGAACTGATTCATTTGTGAGAGAGCTCAATCGTTTGGCACTTGTAAGAGAATTCAGTGTTCAGCTGTGGAGCGTTAACTAGCAGATAAAGGACGCTGAAGAAGTGGCTGACTCGTAAATCAGAACCAAGTCAGTCATTCAGAAGAGGAGACACTCATAGTCCAGTAAGGAATGCAATCAGTCTTAGAGAGCCATGGATTTGGGGCTGTTATGATTGATTGTAATTGTAATAAAGTGCCAATAAATTCAATCATCTGCCAGAACCCATTATTATTTGTCACACAAACCCCTCCTACATGAGAATATTATCCTTCACTGTTGGTCTTTCAAGAAGTTTCAATGACAGATTTCTGTACACATTTCTTGCTTCTCCCACCATAATCTCCTAGAGAATAGCTGATCATCTTAGGTTATATATAAGTAAAGGTACTGTCAGTAAAAGAATGGAACGAATAATGCTGCATGAATTCAAAATTCAAAAAGTCATGATTGGCATGTATATTGACACAAGTATGATTTGTCTGAATGATCTAAATGTACTTACAGTATAAGAAAGAACCACTGTGCACTTTCTTAACTTGGTAAGTCAACATTTAAGCCTACTGGATAGCACTTCAAAATTACTCCTTTATTACAACGCTCTCAGCCAACTCAAGCTGAACATGGTTTGCTATGTGATATTCACCCACAAACTGATTATACAACATTCACCTAATTTACATAGAATACTCACTCTGTCAGTAAGCAGTGGCATATCTGCTCCATCTCCTGCAGAAGTGATCAGGTATTGTGGTGTTTGTGTGTTGTTGAGCACTGTGTCATGATGTCCATTACATTCATTGCCAAATATGTTTCTATTACCCCATTCTGTCATTCCAACGGGGCTCCGCAATTCGGCTTGGTGATTCGTCACATAATTACAGGAGTTCGACATTGAACGACATCTTACACAAAAAGTAGCAGGTTCATCATTATTACCCAACAGAGGCACAGAAGATCGTGCTTCCTCTTCAAGCATAAGATTATCTTCACTTAATGGGTTGATACAACCGGAATACTGGTGCTCACATACATTTACTTCATCATAGATGTTTGCCATTTCAAGATAAACAAAAAAATAGGTTACGTATAAACATTTACAAATTTAAGATTTCGCGTAAAATACAGAACTATTTACAGAATAAATTACCTATGTCATTATTCGCGATTCGATATTTACTTATACAGATATAATACTGTACAAGTACGAAATCTCGTATGTACATTACAACAAACAATAATACTTCCCACTTATCTATCCCTTGCACCTGCGTGAGGTATGACGTACAGCCAGTGAGGGAATATTAATGCACGATACTTTCCCCACTAATGACATGTAAAATTCCCTGAATTCATCGGATTGGATTTCTGGTGTCGCTACCTACAATTCCAAATGCTCACTGTGCGGAACTTGTAGTAAATAACCTACATAGTATCCGATGGAATTTAGAATTAAAACTGGGAAAAGTCAATTTAAATTTATTTGCCTTAGCAATAAATTCAATGTTGTGCGCACTGAAATCAATTAGACATGTATGATGATCAATGTAAGTAGGTGACGTTAAATTGTAATTGAAGTAATGGAATTTTTATATTTTACGCAACGATGATCGTACGATAATCGTTGGTGAAATTCTTTGCAGAACGAAAAGTGGCAATGGATGTCCACGGTATTGGCCAAGAAGCTGAAATAGAAGTAAACACGTTACTAAAGATGGTCGAATGTAAGGCTGTTTCAAACAAGTTAAATCGCAGCAGCGATAATTCTGTATACTGAAATACAATAGTACGCCTGTTGTAAACTGTAGAACGGATACGTTTGTGTAGCATTTAGTTTTCTTAAAAGACATACTCGAAAAGGGTTTGAAAAACATATGGGTTACTAATTAACATAGTATTACTTTCTAACTTGTAAAATATATGTTTACAACATTTTTTTTTCAACACGTAAAATTTAAAAGCATCAATGCTGCCAACATAAGCTAGCTTCCTTGAATTAGTATGCATTTATGTGGTTGTTAATGTAATATTTGTGTTACGTAAACACATTTCAGTTGTATTACTGTGTCATAAGTGCGTCACTTTATAACCCATAAAATAACACTTTTGTGTTATACATCAATTGTAATGATTACGACGAACCACCTCCACCAATCATGGCGATCAACGTTCAGCAGTGCCGCCATGTTTCCCATTGATTGCACACGGCTCGTATCTGTTGCATAAACAACCGCGGGATATTCAGAAAACTCAAGTAGAATAAAAGTATTGGGTTCGTATACTTGCAATTATAAAGATGTATAATTTTTTTCGTGTAGATGTATCTACAAGCTTCATATTGTCTACATAAATTAATTGAAGAAACCTGATATAGCACGCTACTTGTTTCCCTCCACTTGAGCATTTTTGTCGCCCACTCGCTCTTTTCGTGCTTTTTGACAGCTAAAAATACACGTAATGTTAAAATAAGAGCATGAACAATTATTTAGTGTGAATCATTTATTAGGGCATCCTCTCGGGAAAGTGGGGCATGTTTTATACCATACTGCTTTCAATAATGGGTCCAGACCGTTTACACTGCATTGTAACACTATCTGCCGAGTTAGCAAGATCACAGTCTGGCGTCTCGTATGATTGAGTTCTGGTTCCATTTGTGACACGTGTATTGTATGTGCATTGCCTGCTGTTATATAAGTAATGCCTGTAACACATTTTATGGCATGATACGAGAAGTCGGGGTAAAATAAAATTGAACAGTGTAATTAACAGAAAATGTTACAAAGACTGGTGTCTGTTTTTCATTGGCCTTCCCAGAAATCTTGAACACTTACAGCAAACGAATAGTGTGATTACATTTCTTTCCAATCACCAAGCATGATGTTTGGCCTTGTTTAGTAACAGTTTTTTATGCATCTTGTGTTCTTAGATTTTTGTGTCTGATTCATTCTGAGCATATACCTTGAAACATAAGCAGTCTAAAATAATTAAAAAATTGACTTGTCAACCATGAATAAAGGAAGGAGTGAAACCCTGTGGCATGGAACACTTTTTTTTTTAAACATGTCACCAGCCCTGACTTTTCATGTGTGAAGTTCTCATTTCCTGTAGTATTTGCAATACTACAGATAAATGTATGATTCTTTCCAAAATATATCTAGCCAAAACTTTCTGTTGAACAGAACCCAATTTAAAATTGTTCATGTACAAGATAATTACTTGAACACATGCATATTTTAAGTTTTAATGGTAATAGTAGTTCTTTAGACCTCCAATGAAAATCAATTCCTTGTATTATTTAGGTTTTTGTAATCAACTGTAAATAATTGTATGGCAATATGTGATTTAGATTACTGTATTGTAAGATTAAATTATTACAGTTAGAGACAAATTTAACAGGACAATTCATTGAAATGCTTATAGAAGATAATATACCTAATGAACCTTTACTGGAAATGCATGAAAGTTATAAACACAGTTTAATGACAGTAAAAATACAGGTAGAAATCTGGATGGAAAGAAATTGATAGAGGTGAGAGACAAGTCTGTGGTTTCTTGCCAGTGTTATTCATATATGTGAACAAAATAATACATAAATGGAAAATGATAAGACATGGAACCATCTCAGTTAACAGAAACTTTAGCATTGATATTATGCTGTTAGCAGATTATCAGGTACTTCTGATTAAATCTCAAGATGATTTACAGTGCCCAGTATGCAGTCTGAATATATGGCATGTACTGTTAATTATTTGAGGCATAATATAAGAAGGGAGGAAGGATTTAAAGTGCAAAAATTATAAATTTTGTCAGAATACAAGAAATTATAAGTAAGATCTTTACATCATCATTGACTTCTATACATATAAGAATATGATTGTATATGACACGTGATAGATGATGTTTATCTTTGGCGTTGTACAGTGGGTGGTAAGAATAAATGGTGACAAAAGACTGATGTGAACAGAAATACATTTCATGAGGGGGAGTGTGGAATACACACTTTCAGACTATAAAAGAAAATAAGAAGTTATGAGAGAACTTAAAATTCCACAAATAAGAAAATGTATAGAATACAGAAGAAATTGGAAAGAACAAAGTCAGAAAGGTGTTTAGCAATATCACTGAAACAATGGAAAGAATCTGTTTTGTAATATCTATAGCAGGTCTGGATAAGCCTAATATGGGAAGGAATGGGGTCATGCTGAAGTGGCACCTTCATGTACACCATAACTGTCTCCCTGGAAACCCTTTGCATCTTGTCGTTCATGACTGATTTGACTGTATAAAATCTGCAATTGAAACATTAATAAGAACAAATAGGACACTGAAATCTCTTATACCTGGACTGTAGGCATAGTAGGTAACTTTTCCTTTGGCTTTTCCCAGTGCTGTCCCAGGTGATGAGATGACTGCTTGCTGTTCCTATTTCTCTGTACTTACAGTAACTGTCTGAGATGACCCACATAGACAAATCCAGTGATGCCTATATCACATTAAACTTACTTAGCAATAGCAGTGCTGTTTTTGGTTGTATACAAAAGTTTCTTTGTGGAGTAGCCAGGGAATGTGGCCCACAGTGGTAATGCATAGTAAAACCTTTCAAAAACTGAACCCAAATGTGACAAGAAGCCTACTTTTACCAGATAAGTTGTATGGTCCCAGCGATGGTAGAGGGAAAACTAATGTTAAATTACCTGTAATAAATTAATAGTGGTTACTGTATAAACTGATGATATTCAACCTGAATGTTTTTTTTTTGTATAATTTTGACCCTGTAATTTATCAGAGGCTGGACATTCTGGTCAAGGATGAGGAAGAAATATGCCTTAACATTGACAAAGTATGTGCAGAACTGTGTAACAAACTGCTGGAGAAGTAAAATAGTGAACTGAAAACATGCTCTCCTCACTATCAGTTTAGTGTACCTGTGTAACAGGAAGTTCTTGTTCTATACGTAAAGACATGTGGTATGTACCTCAGAATATTTATCTACCAGTATTTGAGTTAAATGTAAACCTGTGTGGAAAGGTGTTCATGTGTCTTGGGGTTACATTATGAGTAGGTTTTATGTCATGTTGGTGGCAATGTTCATTTACATCAGGAAATGTAACTTACAAACGTTTAAAGTCACAATCATCTGGGTTGTGAAATGTCTTTACTTTGGAAGATAGGTGTTAGTGTTTTAGAGAAGCCTGTTGCTTCCATCTTCAGGATAACATTAGAAGCTAAACCTGAGGGGTAAAAGAAATCTATGTATTCATGGTACAAGAAGACCCTATAGAGTGTTATATAGTTTATTTTTCTGTGGTAGTAGGTTCATATGAAATGTCAGTACCCATCTACCAAACAACATGGCATCCTATCTGCAGAAGATTACCTTATGGGCAGTTACTGCTGTGATAACCTCAATCTAATATGTGTCTGTATATTTCCCACAGTGTTTATATACTGTGAATGGAAATATTAAACACTGCAGTGTTCTGAGATGAGAAATTTAAAATTTTGATTTCTTCCTCTTATGCTATATTTCACAAAAGGCTGCATAATCATCATATCTTGTTCATTTTTATTGTGTTTCTCGATGCTGGCAGTAAGTCTTGCTGTGTGATGTCAAACACATGAACCAGTTGGGGGTTAGTTGAGCAGTAGTACAGAAATGTGGCTTGTAATTGTGGCCACATTAGGAATGCTTGTGCATCAACTATTTTTGATTCACACTGATTTGAATTTATGTCTGCAGAATGAGATCTGTGAGTTGTGTTGTTTCATTGCACCTTAAACATCCAACTCCCTAATAATTAAACCCAAATTGGTTTTCATTAAAACCAGTTCTTTCCAATTCCTGTCCTTACATCCCATTTTTTGAAGACACCAGTTCGTTTTAATATAGTGATCTTTCCCAATTGGTGGAATTATCTAAGGTTTTACAAACAAAATTCAGTATAAGGTTCTTTTTTAATCTAAGCAGCATGTGTAACACATCATAATCTTCATAATATAAGTTCTAAAACGTGTACAGCGGAGTGAATACTAGTTCTAGTTAAATTATAATTTTGGCTGTCTAACTTTCTGTATACTTGGGGTTATCTATGTTTACTTCAAAATCAATACTTATTATATATTTTCACCAACTTGATTGTCATTAGCCTGTACAAGCAACCATGTGGCATGGTGCTAAGCACAGGGATTTCACCTTTTTTACCCTTCAGTTGGTATAATGTCTGGGCTACTGGATGGACATCCAAGGAGTTGGGCTTTGATTACTATTAGAGATTAGAGATTTTTGTCTTCTCCATAATGTCCAGACCAGCTCTTGGACCCACCCAGCCTGCTATGCAATGTGCACTGGGGATAAAGCTGACCATTCACCTTGACGTAGTGCCAGTGTTGAGAATGATGGAATTATACCTCCACTCCTCTGTATGTCTTCATGGCGTGATGCCTAATTAATTAGGCCCAGGGATAGCTTTTTCTCTCCCATTTACCTGATTTTGACAAAGTCATTCCAACCTTTTGTAATTCTTTTGACTTGTCACATACAGTGGAACCTCGCTTAACGAGTATAATTCATTCCAGAATCTTACTCATAATGTGAAACACTCGTTAAGCAAAACGATTTGTCCCATATAAATTAATGTAAAATACAATAATGCATTCCATGCCAAAAAAAATACTCAAAAAAATTTATGTATAACGTTTATTCAAAATTATATATACATTGTTAAGGAGCATGAATCATCTTCATCTTTTCTTCTATGCGGAATGAACCAACCTGGAATGCGAATTCAATTTGCAGAAAACAAAAACAAAAAAAAAATCGTAATTAGTTTATTATTTATGATACATATCTAATTCTTTTTTACTAGAAAGCTGTCTAGAGACATTTGTTTTTTCCATCGCTTCAAAATTTGGTGAAAATGCGACACAGCATTATCATTAAATAAATTTGTAGCATGCATAGCCACTGCCTTATTAGGGTGATGCTTCTCAGTGTATGATGCAACAGCTTCCCATGCTTTCAGCATTTCTCTTATTGCGCCAGAAGATTGTTGCTTTCCTGCTACCTCCTCCTCCTCCTCTGACAAACTCTCCTCCACAGCTTCTTGCTGTGAAAAACAATGCAACTCCAAATCATGCAAATCGTTGATGTAGACCGATTGTATGTGCGTGCTAGATCAGCCGCGCACACAACTTGTTCTCGCTTTTCAATGCTTTTATGTTTCATTTCTATGGTTATTTTTATTCTCTTATGGCTGTCTTTTTGTGACTTTT